GCTATTGCTGCCTGGCTGCGCTGTAAGCCCCACCACCCACCCCCGCATCCACCTGTAGGCTCGACTGGGGGTTTTAGGTATTGCTCATCACTCCCCAATATCTCCTATGTAAACATATCTATGGGAAATGATGAGGTCGGGCCATAAGATGCCAAAATCTAAATATGCCTATAGTGTGTAATAAAACATTTCAAACGTGAGTTGGCTAACTAACTGTGTTTTATGACTAAATACCTCATTCTCAGCATGTAGCCTATTTTGTGTTTGAGTGCTAATTAGCACATGTTTACATGCTAAAATCCTGAAATTAAGGATGGAAACATTGCGTCACATCAAGGCATGTTAGCATTGTCATTGTGAGCATGTTAGCCTGCTGACGTTAGCATTTAGTTCAAGTTCAAGATGTGTTATGTCATATGCAACAAATAAAAGCAAGTTTTCCTCTGTGAAATGAAAATTCTTTCTTTGCTGTCCGCCCCTGATACAGACGCATTTAAATACAAATAGTAAAATACAATAGTAACAAAAAAAACCACAAATATTACCCCAATAATAGAAAGTCAAAAACACAATATTACAATAAGTACAGTAAGTAAAAAAAATAAAAAACTCAATATTACAGTAATTTTAAAAGTGTCAATGTGCAGTGTTCAAAGCAATGCTGTGCCTAAATGCAACCTAATAGAGCTGCAAGCATGATTGTAGACTCTTAGTCTGGTTAAACACAGCTGCAGTGCAGTATAAGAAAACTGTAATGCTTTGCACAGACAATATGGAGAGAGAAAAAGCTGTGAATAAAATGTACAGTATTAAACAAATAAATTAATAAATCTTTTAGTAAATACTTCTCGGGAAAGAACATATTTCCTATCTAAAATGTGTTCAGAAAACCCATTGCTTTGACTTTAATACACAGAGGAGAAACTGAATCTTACATGCTCAAGACTTTTTTTAATAGCGAGGATGAGGGGTTTAGAGAGCAGAGGCAGAGCAACAGATGAATTATTTGTTCAGCAGCAGAGCTCCCGTTGGCTTTGTCTGTTGTTGTTCATCTCCAGAGCAACTGCAGTGCATGAATCAGCCCCGGCAGCAAACTGTGAATGAACACTGCAATTGATTAAGACTTTAAGAGTCACATAGGCGTACACACATTTCATCACACCGTTGCTCTTGATGTCACGGACTGAACCTTGTTATGAATCACACAAATCTGAGCAGCAGCAGTGGCGAAAGCATCCATGACATTTCTCTTTAAACGTTCTCTGGTTTGGCTGCCTGTAAAGATAAAATCTTTTGTTAGGAAATAGCTTAGTCATAACAGTCATGAAAATATTATTGCAAATGCTTTGATCTTTTGACATTTCATTCACTGCCCTTAATAACAAACAGTTTACATTAGATCATAAACTGAAAATCTGCTGTTAAATAAACACATTGGGAAATAATTTGCTGTTTTGAGAGTTAGAGGAAGAAGATTGGAACCACATTCACGTCGGTCTAATAAATATGAAGCTACAGCGAGGAGAGCGTTAGCTGTAGCTTAGCTTAAAGACTGGAAGGAGGGGGAAACAGCTAGCTCTCTAGCTCTTGCTAATTTACATGTTGTATCGTGTGTTTAATTTGTATTTGTGTTGTGGTTTTATGGGAGGTTATGTGCTGGGCTATTTTAGGTTATTTCTAATTGTTTCCCCTTTGTCCCAGTCTTTACGTTAAGTATCTATTTTAATTGTTAGCTAAGAGTTAGAAATAGCCACAAAAAAAGTTTTTTATTTTTCATTGTTTTTGTACAAACAAAATACGTGTTAATTAGTGCGCTACAGGTGCTGATAGGCAGAGCACATTGAATGGTTAAACCACAGGGTCACGTCGCCTTTGTTGCATGCGATACCCCTCTCTCTTCCCCGTTTCCTGTCTGCCTCTGCTTTTCAATAAAGGCAAAAAAGCCCAAAATTAGTCAAAAGAATTAAAGTGCTGATGTGAGATGTGTGTTTATCTTCAGACCGAGGAACACAAGCTGTTTCCTCCTGCTACCAGTCTTTATGTTAAGCTATGGTAACCGGTTAATGGCTGGTACTTCAATAAATGTACAGACATTAAAATTGTATAAATCTTCTCATCCAACTCCCATCAGGAAAGCAAAATAATTAATAATAAATTATTGATTATATTAATAATACAAATATTTTTTGCAAAATGTCAAACTTTTCCTTTTACTGTATGGACATTAAGTTTGTGCTGTTTCCACCCACTGCATTCCAAACAGATCATTTCATTGTGTGTGTTGTGCCTCTGTGTGCCTTTTTGATCGTTATAAGTGACAGTAAAGGTCAGAGGAACTTGGTTATTATTTAACAGAGACGTGTCAATACAACACATACCAGAAATATTCTCACTGACACTCCTTGACACAGGGACAAAGATTGGTGCTCCGATATTTTGACCAAATACAACAAACAGCAGCAATGAATGCCTTTATTTTATTCTTCACTTGTTCTTAGTGAAATTTAGGAAGTTAGGAAGTTTCCTTTGGCCGCTGGCTGTGTGGTTTCCCACGTACAGTGTGAGCTCGAGGACCCAGTCCCATCTGTTATGCTCAGATACTCAGCGAACCCAAGTCACCTTTATGTTTCCTCTCACGGCCACTGCTCTGCAGAAGCTGCGAATGTTGTTCATGTCATTTATCACACCAGTGTCAAGCCAGCAGGATGAACAATAAGACCGGTAAATGGTCTGCATTTTTCAAAATACAAATAGTTATGACAAAAATGTAATGTGTGGCTCTAAGCTACAATTCTCATAGTAAAATCTTTTTTACAAATAATACGGTGGCAAATTGACCAATAAATTCCTTAAGGTTACAGTATTGAAGGGGTTTCATTTCATGAAGGCATTATATTCCATTTAAACACCCCAGTAAGCCATAGCGAGCCACCATACACAACACATAAACCCCAGGAACTGGCACACCTGAAAGGAATCATTATTATTATTAATTACACCTGTGCTTTTCCTGTTAACTGACATGGAAAATTGGATCATTACCATTCACAACCACAACTACTCTTAGACAATGACTGATTACATCAGATATAAATAAATATACTGTAAGAATAGTTACATACATTTGCATCTGACTAAATTTTAGATTTTTACAGGCCAAGTCCTTTAAATATTCTGCATATATTTAATAAATGTATGTTAGTGGTGTCCTTGTTGTTGGTGCTCTGTTTATTCTGTTGCATTTTTTTTAATACCACCTTTCTTATGTTATCTAAAGGATACTTATATATAACCATAACCCACACTGTTTAAATCCATCAACAAACCCTAACCCTAACCCTAAACCAAAGTTTCTTCCCTCAGGTTGCCAGACTGGCTGAATAATCCACAATCCAAGACCTCAAAATACATACAGTACAAATACAGTCAACTCCAACCATTGTGTTGCTATTTAGATAGATATACTTTATACTTGATTGATTTTTTTTTTTTTACGTATTTGCATGTTATATACTACAGGGCTTGTAGCCACACTACCAGCATGGCTCCATGGATGGCGGTGTCAGTTGGTCCACTGCTTTGGTCCACACTGAATTACCTCCAAAACTATTAGATGGATTACCATGCAATTTTGTACAGACATTCATGGTCCCCCTTTGCTGATCCCCTGACTTTTTATCTAAAACCACCACGAGGTCAGAGCTTTCACTTATTTAATGAAATGTCTTGACAACTACTAGATGGATGTCAATGAAATTTGGTGACACTTATTGTCCCCAGAGGATTTTTTTAACTTGTTTACAAAATAATACATACTTAATAGGCTTCTTTTTTGACAAATTCAATGTTCAATGCTGATATTTGGTCATTGTTCTATTAGACAATTTACTGAAAAATTTACTTTACTTTACATTTACTTTTGTTCACATATGTAAACTAAATGCTGAGATATAGGCCTGCTGTGTATATCGTTTTAGCACACCTTCAAGAAGGCCAAAACCACCTTGGAAACCACTGCTCTAGCTAATGCCACTAGTTATATATTTTTTACACAATTTGATATGTATCAATAGCTATATAGCTATATACTATATCAATAGCTATATACAAAGCAAACCAAACAAATAAATGTAAAAAATGTAATGTAAAACTGAAATACAAACAAAAAAGGATTTTCAGTTGGATATATTTTTTTAAGGTACTGCTGCTGATACTGCAATGATGTAACCATTTAACACTGACTGGCAGTACAAGGCAGGTTTAGATACGATCAAGGCATCATCACCACTGATCAGAGATTACCTCATTATGATCTTCTGCCAAACCACTAAGTTTCTGATGCACTCATTCACATGGTCTGCTCTCATTGGTTGCTTGCAGAGTAACTATTCGTCACATGTTTTGTTTTTGCTGAGTAGATACTTTGGATTGATCAACAATATTAAATAACAAATACGTGCTCTAAACTTCGAAATCTGCTGCTGTGAAGTTTTCCTTTTTGGGCTTGTGGTCACATGGTTTAAATTTAGGACGGGAGTTTATCTGATCTGGTCAGATTGGGTTTGTCCTCTGAGGTTTTTTGTAAACTTACCAACAGAGGAGAACAGAAAGTGAAGAGGAAGTTAAACGTTTTCTACAGTGAGAATATTTAAGGGGCGATTCCTATTTAATGAGGTTCAACCTTAAATCCCCCCCATACACTAGACCTGCTCTATTAGAAAGTATCCTGAGATAACCTCTGTTATGATTTTTCTGCTATACAGATTTAATTAGATTGAATTTCCCTTCCCTCCACTGACGGATATCTGCTCCCACTCCCTTCCTGTATTGGAAAAGTAGCACTGGACATTGCGTAGTTCGTAAAAAACTTTATCTCCTTATTATTCCCTCTGTGCGCGCGTGTGTGTGCTTCTCGTCATGTAGTCGCACACCCGTACGTGCGCTCCTTTACGCAGCGCGCACGGATCGCGCTCGGAGCAACCCCCTGGTGGGAGTGGGAAGACTCCAGCCCATACAGGGTGGTGCAGGGGTGGGCAGAACTGCGAGGAAGAGGGGTGTGTATATGTGTCAGCTTAAAGTACCGTGCACTGCATTCCAGGGCAGGCATATATAAGTATTCAGATCCAAGAACGAAGAACGAAGAAGAAAAGTTTCCAAAAGTTTGACGCTGAGAAATAATTACTCAGGACGAAGCAGAGGGTTCATCGCTGATCCAGAGGAGAATCCACATAAATAAAGTAAGACTTTTGTCACGCCTACTCTGTTTCTTTTCTTATGGGGGTGATGTTGAGTGGAGGGTAAGGAAGCGGTACGCACATGACCTAACGGTTTCTTTTTATAGACAAGAGAAAGTCTCTGGTACACTTAGTTAAAGGTTTGTTGAATGATCCTCCGCAGAGAGGGACGCTTACATCCCATAAAGAAGAAGATACATTGTAACAAACTGGCTTTTGTTCAAGGACAGACTATATCAAAATATATCTCAATGTGACAATCTGGATTTACTCCATACATAAAGGGTTTTGCCTTTATATATCTCATGGCCTTGCAGTCCTGGTTGGAGTTTAGGCTTGAACTTGCTGAACCTTTGTTGCATAAAAACTCCAATTATCAGCTCCCCAGATTGCTTCCAGCAGTTGATAACAAGGAGCCCCCCCTCCTTCCATCTTTAAGAAGCTGGTTTGCTGTTATACTGGCTTTTTTGTAGGATTTTCCATGTTCAGTAAGAACACAGTCAATTAGTTTAGGTATTTTCATGCCCTCAGCTTTGTTGGTTGGTGGCCAACCAGCTGCAGCCCTGCTGCCCCCCTTTTCTTTCTTCAGAGATTTTAAAGGATGTGCAGTGCATACCATTTATTTATTCTGTATGAGATGGCATTCTAGGCTTTTACTTTGCTGTGACATTTAATGTTTTTTCTATTTTTTATTTAAGAAATTAATTAATCTTAAATGGGACCTATCTCACCAGACAATCAAGCCCAGCCATTTAAATCTGGTGTTGTTGTTCAGGAACAGTGACTTGAATTTGAAGAGCTTTATCTGAGGGGCCAGTGGGCATACCAGTGGTGCCGGCATGCCAACACAAACTGACTGAAGAGAAGTGCAGAGATGCAGGGAGAGGGTACAGCATAATGGAAGAAGTGATACGTGTGCTAGTGATAGGCAAAGGGGAAGGAAAGATGAAGTGACACTTGTTTTCAAGCTTGGCTAATGGTTGTATTAGAAAGCCATTAAAGTTTGTGCATTAAAGTGTGAGAGAAGAGCAAAGCTGCCAAAAAAATTAGCCTTGTGGAATTGCTTTTCAGGGTTTTAGAGGGTTGAGTGGGTGACTCTAATTGGGCAATTTTAGGCCACCTAAGGTGCCGTAGTGAGATAACATGGCCTTTTTAAAGCCTGTGAAGACACAAATTACTAACAAAACAGTCTGAAAAGCTTTTGTACAGTTTTTGTACAGTTACGTTTCAAAAGAATCCATTTTTGGCAAATTGTTATTGTATTTGCTTTTTATCACACGAAATATTTAGTCACTCATTTTCTGTGAGTGAGTAGAAAGAGACATGGAAGCTTCCTTTTACATAACTGACATGAATTCATTGCCTTCTAACCAAAATATGTGAACCCTGGCATGCTTTTATCTTCTTGTCAAACTACATGTCAGTTCCTTTTCTTTAACTAAAATTAGAGGTGATGTGGCCAAGTGTGACTTTTGGGTGGAGATCATGTTGCAATACACACAGCTGACTTAAATCTATTGTGCCTGTCACAATGATTATGAATGTCTTTGCCAAATATTTAGAGGATTTGGCAACAGTTGAAGGCAGGGGAACACCATCTGACTGGCAGACGAACTCAGGAAGTTAAGGAGTTGAAAAATCAGAAGTGAACAATAATGTCATTCACACATGGAGATAGTTCACACACAGACACACGCACACTCTACTGTGAAAGGTGCTCCTCCCTACCACCTCTTCCTCAGCTGTTGTTTGCCCTTTGAACTGGACCACATACCTTCACTACCACTGCCTTTTCCCCCAAACCAGAGTGCTCAGCCTATACCATGCAAATACTCAACAATGAAATCAATAGAATAGCAGCAGCCCTTTATTAAAGATTCTCACAGCTGCTTGTCTGTATGAAATAGGTGCAGTAACTTTCCTTATGGCCCCTCACATCACTAAATAAATCATTACATTTTAGCTGCTGACATTTAACAAAGAGAACATAAGGAGACACCTTGAGATATGCACACAGCTGAAAAGATGTGCACAGATACTAGCTGACCATTTTCTGAACCTCTCGCCTAAATAGTGATTGTCCAATCATAGCTTCACCACCAACTACCAATGGCAGCTATAGTAGTAACCTAGCTTTACCTCCAAGGTCAAGTAGCACTTTGGTCAACTCTGGTTGTGTTAAATGTGTTATATAAATACACTTCATTTGATTTGATATTAGCTAACTACATTACTTTTTGGGGTAGCAGTTTACGTAGAACATCCTCTGAGCCAATACTCCTATATCAAGAGTTTAGCTAATGTTAGCAGCACTGTCCTGCTCTGTATTAGATTTGGGGGGAAGTTCACACTCCAGCAACCCAAACCTTGTTACCCAAGAAAGTAATACATGTGCCAAACTCATTGGTTAATCATCCTCTAATTCTAATTTCTGTTTATCCAGGTAGGCTTTTCTATTGCAACATACAAACAGGGTTATTTTAGCAGAAAATAACATTTGTATACATACATTTATAAATTGTTGACTTGTTGGATTTTGAGCGGTAAATCTGCCGCCATTATCATCGTAAACTCGTATAGGTATCATGCTAGAGCATGAAGAATGAGAATGTCAGCCTATAAACCAAATACCCCCTATATAGGTTTACCTAACAACACCACATTTCTCTTGAATATGTGCATTACTACAGCTCATTACAGTTTATTGGCGTTTTACAAGAGCTAACAAAACTCTAAAATAACCACATAATATGACGTTAGGATGGAGACGTTGCAGATGGTGAGAAAATGGAGGGAAAGATGGGGAGGAGAGGGAAAGTCCTCCCCGCTCTGCCTTTCATTTTAGTAAACACTTTTTGTTTCAACTTTCCTTATGTTGACATTTGGTGTATGACATTTGACCCTGATTTTAGGATTTAAGATGGGCAGGAAGGACAGGCTTATCTTCAGTGTGACAAATGATCTAATTCCGTTGTGATTATTAGTGCACTGTATGAGGGTGGGGATCTGACAGTGTGATAAATGTTTATATGATATACAGTACTGGACACCTACACCCTCAGTGTATGGGAACGCACAGACACATACACACACACACAAACTGCATTATTTCGCAACAGCTGGGGTGAGGCAGATGGAATCCAGCTGCTTGTAGGAGATTGCTCAGGGAGTACGGCAGACAAGGACGAAAGGCTAAATACCCCAGAATGCTTTGGGAAAGCCTGGTGGCTGAGGACAGTGCATTGGCTGTTGCATAATGGACAGATGGCTGAAAAGGGAGAAGAATGAAAGAAGAATGTTTGTTAATCAGGTTGTTATGAACACAAAGTCTCAGTGGAATGAAATGTACTGTAGCACACTGTCAGATGCCATTTGGTACATCATATGCATCTGCTTTCTAGATGTCGTTGAAAGATTTGGTTTCATTTGTCCCTCTGAGATTTCTGCCCTCACCCCAATACAATAGAAATGAAAGGATTTTGGTTCGTGGTGCTCACAACCTTAAAAAAGTAATTTAGAAGTTCTACAGCAACATCTCTGTCCAGAAACAATGTATCCATAACTGTTGATATACCATAATGCAGTCACCAGTTTTCATATGAGGACTTTCTTTTGTAGAGAGCAGTTCCAATAAAAACTGTTTACATCAAGGTCTGGGGATTGTTCAGAGGGAAATATTTCAGTGTAGTGGGTGAAAGAGACAAAAGTGTAGTGTACTTAATGTCTTAGGATAGCATACAGTAGCAAACAGTAGCAAAAAAATAAAAGCTGATTAGACAAGGAATGTCTGAAGAGCTCTAAACTCCAGCAACACTTGTATAAAGAACAATTTATTGTCAAACCAACACGTTCTGGCTTGTGGCCTTCATCGGGCTCATCACGTAACACATTATAAAGAACATTTAGCCTGCATCTTATTTTTGGGAAAAGCAGGATGATTAGCATTTTCGGTGTAACATAACCAAATAATGACTTAAAATTAAGATTTGTATCTACAATTTTATTCCTGAAATTGAAATAGTAATTTTCTAATGTTTCCTAGAATGCCAGGTGAGCGGTTGACAGTAAGAGGAACATCAGAGGTGGGGCGTTTCCCTGGAGGAGCCCCACCCACCAGGGTGGAGCTGACCATTCAGAAAGAGGGCGATAAGAAACAGGAGGAGGGAGGCTGTCGCCGCTGGTTCAGGAAGATGTGTCCATGCTGCTGTAAGCGCCAGAACAGCACCTCCTATGATGTTACAGACAAGGTGGAATTGGTCAAACCACCGGCTCCAGTCCCTGCACCGGAGCCCGCCAAGCCCAAGCCTGAGAATGGAGAAGCAAAGGAAATGGAAGGTACACAGACTCTCTCTACAGAAAATATCAAATGTCCATAGCAGCAGTGATATAGAGACATATACTTAAATTGTGTTAAACCTCACTCTCTCAGAAATAAAGTTGTCGGTGCATTCTGTGGACCTACTGAGCTCCAAGACGGGTCAGAACAGACGGGAACACCACACCGACTTGTATCACGGGGAGGAGCTGATCATCCGCAGAGGACAGACCTTCCAGATAGAGCTGGAGCTCAACAGGCCCTTCAATGCTGACACTGAAAAGCTGCATCTGGAACTGAAAACAGGTACGGAACAGATGGACAGTGTCTGTGTGTGTGTCATCATACCTGCCAACAAAATCTATGATGATAAAGAAATATCTAAATTAGTATGATCTTTAGCAGCTGAAGTGTTAGGTACACTATTTAGGTGAGTAGCAGCCAGGGGGGGTTGTGCATGATTTATGGGTTAAAAATGTATCTGAGCATATCATACTGGGTTGCACCAAATTGCCTAATGCACAAAAATGAACTCAGATTGCCCAAAGACACATCCTGCACCTGCAGACCTAAGAAAACCGGTGCGGTGCCCTACTAAGGGTTAAACCTTTGGATTGCAGTGGCAAGAAAACAAAGATAATAAGAAAAGCAAAACAATAAAGCTATAGTTAAGACTGTCTCTGCCTCGAAAGTGCCAACTTTTTGTCAGAAATTTGAAGGCCCAAGCCCAATGCAGATATTATTATTTTAGAATTGTGGAAGCTAATCTAGATCAGTGATTCCCAGCCAGGGTACTTGGTGACCAGGGTGTACTTCAGCAGTCGCCAGGGGTACAGAGAAAGACTGTAAAGTACCTCAGCTAGTTTGAAAAAAAACTGGATGTTTTGATTAGAAATATATCCACATATTGAGTCGGCAAGTGAGCACACAGGTATAACCCATGGTAAAAGTAACAGGTAAATAGTTAAATTAGTTGAATGTATCCGGTGAATGGTTGCAATAGAACACATTTGGTGTCGATGAAGGGGTACGACTACTCTGACAGGGTTGTACACTGCTGTAGAGCCGCAGAAGACCTGATACAACTGTTTCCACAGGTTGAATATCTGTGATCTTAATGTGTAGAATTGTTAGAATGCACCTTTAACCAGTATTTGCTGCAAGCCTGTGTGAAACGCAGAGGAACACCTAAATCAGAACAAGCATGGGAAATGTGGTCAAACATGCCACACATAGCAAGCACATTTAAATCGAGCAGCAGTTCAACCATAGCTACACCACAAGTTTTGGATTCCATCCACCATCCCACAGTGTTAACAGTTTCCAGACCTCAGGACACCGGACACCTCGCTCTGGTATTTACAGGCCTCATACTACAACAATCCACTACTCACTTGGGAATAAATGGCCATTACATCACTGCAGAGAAGTCATTTGCTGTCACCTGCTGTTAAGATAGTTACATGGGAAGAGAAAAAGAATTGACACGGACAACTAGCTGAGCCATCCACATTGGACAGGCTCTCTCATTAGCTTTGCTTTCACAATATCATTTGCTGTGAAAAGGTTTGAAGTGTTGCCCTAAAATCATTGCTTTGTGTCATTGTAGCTGCCAAAGCTGTTATTTTTTTCAACTAGGAAGTCGAATGAAGATTCCGAGTCAATTTTCAATAATGTGTTTAAGCTGAAAAAACTGTGTTTTACATTGATTTCCTTCTGAAAGTGTACTCAGACATGAGAGAGGAAGGAGCTGCAGTCGGGTGGAGAACAATGGTTGTTTGATAATGTCCATATTCGCTTCAGTAAATGGCAGCTAAAGCCTAGCAGCGTGCCACAGAGCAAATAGTTTAGAAGAAAGCATCCAACAAGTCTTAATCCAGCTACTAGGTTAAAAATAAAGTTTGTAAAAAGTTGTTTTTAGTTTTTCGTAGTTTGTTAGCCTTTAGTTAAGTTAAAGGGAACATTCAAGTTGAATGTGCTTGGCTTTCTGCAGGGATGTGTGTGTATGTGCAGTGTGGGAGGTTTTGCAGCCCCAAAATATTGTTTACTCAGACAAACCATGCACAGCCGGGGGAAGGGCAGTGATGCATATGTGGTTTATAGTTTGCTATGGCTGTGTTATCAACTGTGGGAACACATTAACAATTACTGTCATGTGAATAAAGGAGTTTACGCTGTTCTCAACTTCCATGTTCTCCACGGCCGCTTGTGCAGGTATATAACTTTATTTGTTATGTATATGTTTACACAAAGTGTAGTTTATGTGCATATACACACATATATTCACTCGCTTTGGAGTTTCACTAATGAGTGTTTTTCATATTGTTCTTGTACTCTTTTAATTGGTAGACATTTGCACATAAATTCAGAGATCATATTATATAGTATATTCTAAAAGCACAACATGAAATGCATTGTACATCAGGCTTTTGTTAATGAAAATTCTATTACAGTGTTTCCTTTCTATTTCTTCTTTATTGGAGCATTCTGGTACAACATGACTCAAATATAACCTGTGTGCTGTAGGTCCCCTGCCCATGGTGTCCAAAGGCACCCATGTCATCATTCCATTGGTGGATCACCTGGAGGATGAGCGCTGGGAAGCCAAGATTGTAGAGCAGAACGGCAACAAGATCAAGCTGTCCGTCAACTCACCAGCCAGTGCTGTGTGTGGCCTGTACGGGCTCACGGTGGCATGTAACTCCTCAAAGGGCGAGGCAGCAACTACTCACAGCTCCAGCAAGAACATTGTCATGCTCTTCAACCCTTGGTGTGAAGGTAAGATTGGCAGTGGGTGTGAACGTGGCAGAGTGTTTACATAGATCGAGGGCAGGAATGTGGAACATAGGAAGGGGAGAAGACGAGTCTTAGGTGATAAGAAGATAAAATGAAGGAAAAATAGACAAAACAGACAGCGTTGCATAACTGGAATGAATTACATACTATCTGGCTTGCTGTTAAATTTGAGGCAGAATATCTTCAAAAAGTCTATATTTTTCTTGCAGAACTGTCAGATACAGCCAAATTGCCAGGGAGAAGAGTTCCCAGAACATAGTTGCTGTATTACAAATAGCATCATCATTCTGATAGCAAATACTGGTACAAAGCCATTTAATCTCTGAGAGGAATCCTGATATAATGTTACACATGGGTGATAAAGTCCAGCCCAATCCTTGAGCGTGTTGCTGTCCATCAAATAGCTACAGTGTGACCCTGTGTGAAACTATGGGAGTCATGGGAGTAACTATACTGGGTATGATTCAAGACTGCTGGCACACTTATGTATGCCACTTATGCAACACGCTGAACTATGTTTGTGTGTAAGATCAAATAGACCTCCAGTGGCCTCATTTGTAATGTCTATGCATACAGATGTGATTTTTAACCTTTGCTTATGCATAAATCACTTTGTGGGGTTTATCACTATTTACTTACTTTAAATATGTTCATAGATAAATAAAAGAGGTCAGTTTTTTTAATCAAGCATACATTTTTCCTCTTGTTTAGTTAACCCTACACTGACAACGCTGGTGGAAACAAGCTGTAAACACAACTGACATAGTATTATCTTTAAAGTTAATATGGCTAATGTGTTAGCAGGTGGTTGCCTATTTACTCATGCAGAGCAACATTACCTTTATTTAGTGGAGTTTCTGGTGACCCTTTCATTGACACCACCCACCATGTCCCACACCCCTCCTCCAGGCCTGTTTAGTTTTGCTCAACTCCTTGATGGCTATGGGATCATGATTATGTTATATGATCCCATAGACACTCAACAGTTGAGCCATAACAGCCTAATATTGCTGTTTGACATAACTTCAGACTACACCAAATACATAATTTAATGGCCTGTCTTATGAAATTTATTAGTTTCTGACTCTGAGAAAGTGGCAAAAACAGTGAAATGCCAAAAACCACTGTATCTCTGATCCATCTCTGTAACCAAGTCACACACATTTAGGTTAATTTGTATGATCTCTCTAATGTAATATTTTTTCACTTCCATTCACTGAGCCTCCCCTGAAACTGTTTCGAGCCCCCCTGGGGAGGCCCGCCTCCCACTAGACAGCCTCTGGTCTAGTTCTGGGCCATCTTAAGCAGGAGTAATTTCCCAGATGGCCGAGCAACTGCGAGTTACAAGGATATTTTACCATGGAAATTCAGCAAAGAGTATAGAGTACAATTTTAATATTGTACAGTAAGAGTAAAATGAAGTGGATGAAAACGATTGATGATGTCCTCACTGCTGTATATTCCCATAACTGTGTATGATCACTCTTGAAATGAGGCTGATAAGAGCCATGAAACTGAACAAACACAATAAAGGTTTGGGCTGTACAACCGAAACAACAAGCTTAAAGACACTAAAACCCCTTCATAGAGCTGAGGGGAACTGCAGAGTTGGATAATATCAGGGTTTTTTTTAACTGTGAGTGACACCTTTCACAAACACCTAGCTATTTGATCCATTGTTGATATCAAAATATTGATTATAGCAGCTTTAGCTACCACTTTGAACTACATTCATGACCAACACATGGTCTCACTGGGCTTCATTTGTAAAATGTTTGTACAGTCAGTTTGTACTTTTATCAGTATTTTCTTATTTCCAAAATGTCTGGATTTAAAGAAAAAAAAGGTCAGTCTTGTTTGTTTTCATTTTATTGGGTATACTTATTATTCTCTTATTCAGTTGATAAAACATTAGGAAATGAGGTCCATTGTTTATTCTGCTGAGTTTCTTTCAGTTTGCTGTGCATTGCAAACTATCCGCACAGGATATTTGACAGAAAGACGTGTATTTGCAACACAGCAAAATAAAAAAACTGTGGACCTGGATTTGATAAAAAGAAACTCTGTCTTTCATTATGGGGTTGCTGCTTTTGGCAGCAAGCCCAATCTCCTCTTCCCTCTTTCAATCTCTTCTTCCCGAGACCAATCTCTCCCTCACGCTCATAAAAGTCAAAATCCTACAATTACTGTATAAAAACGCCATGGGGCAAGCTCAGAGTAATCCTGCAGCTGGTGACAACCTGTCCTCTCGCTCGCTTTTACTGCCTCCATGTGCATTTCCTGCCTTTATATGCCTCTCCCACCCAGCCTTGCTCCCTTCTTGCTATCTGTTGACCTGATCCTCACTCCATCTCCCCATTGCTCTGTTTTCTGGCCTCCTCCTCCTCCTTCGTATCTTCCAGTGTGTGTCTGCTTCTCCCTAAATTGCAGAAATATTCTGTAAGAAGTGAAAACCACAATTATCACAGCTGCCAGATTCTGTCAGCCTCACCTCCCTCTACTTTCTCCTGTAAAATCACAAGACACTCTGTTATGCTCCACTCTCCCTCCACCCTTTCCCTCCCAAGCATAACTTCCCCTCTTTCTCTCATTCGTCCCACAGGACCTCTTCCTTCCACTTGCTTTTTCTCATGTCCATCTTGAATACTCTGATACTTTTACTGCTTTCCCTTTCTTTCTTTTTGTCACGTTCCTTTTCTCCCCACCCACCGGTAATCACGGTGGCAACAGCAAGAGATAAAAGAGATGGAAAAACACAGACACAGAGACACAGATTTGTGAAGCTCATGTCAGGGGGTGCACGCCCAAGTCTGTAGTGCTGATGTCACTCAAAACAGACTGTTTCCCATAAAAGAACGTAGGCCCCACCACAAGGTCTATGGACTCATTGTGTTCCTTAACCATTTCCTGGCCTTGGGGACTCTTTCACATAATTTGTGAAAAGAAATCACATTCTTAAGTGATTTAGTATCTGAAGAGTTGAAAAAAGCAGCGATTCTGGTTCACTTTCACAGAAAAGGAGGAAGCCACAAATTTGACTAAGAGTGTATGTCATTAAAATAAAACCTACAGTTCAACAGAACTTGTATTTCCTGTCAATGTTGGTTTAATAGCATCAACATTAAAGATAACTGCATGTATGTGAACGTAGAGAAAACACAAGTGGATACAATGTAGGATGAAAAACAGCAATCTCAATGCTATATTGTCAGTATTATAACAGATTACGGTATATAGATATAATGTTGTCATATATTTCCAGAGGACACGGTGTTCCTGGATGATGAAGACGAGAGGAAGGAGTATGTTCTGAACGACATCGGGAGGATTTACTATGGCACAGAGAACCAAATAGGTGCCCGCACATGGAACTTTGGGCAGGTACAGACTATCGAAACAAGATGTGACACGAAAATGGTTACTGAATTATTATTACAATAGTGTCTGTGGCACACCACCCTTTGTTGTTGTTAAATGTTACTCAGACAGGATTAAACAGCGTATTTGTTTGGACTATTTTCAGCCGTGGATTAATACACATTTAGTGCACTAGTAAGTATTTCCATCAGCAGGACTGTGAATGTCTGAGTGACACAATTAAACTACAGTGCCAATGCAAGATCTATGTGTTTTTAATATTTATTAGACAATGGAATTCATATTGTATGGCACAGAAGAATACGATTTATCAGGCGTCAGCTACACACACAATACTTGTTAATAGAATCAATTCATTGCTGGTTTTGGTCTTTCCCTGGGATTTGTTGACGATAAGAAAAATATAGGAAATCACCAGAAACATATTTTGTTGTCTGGCTGTCATATGGCTGGCGGTACCAGTCCATTCCCACAGAAAAGCCTAGCTTCTTCAAGTTTTTTCTTTGGCTTTATAAATAATCGCGACACATGCTTTGAGTTACGTTTCAGTAGCCTTCCACCACCTGCCATTGTGAACTTGTGAAGAGCAGCGCCATGTTTTTGTTTTGTGCCATAAAGCACAAATACTGTAAACCAAACAGGCTAGTAGAAGCTGCAAATCTGTTATTTTATTTACGAAGGGTTTTGATATTTCTCAGTTATTGCCATTGTTTATTAATGTTCCAATAGTAAGATGTGTCTTTAAATTTTACAGTATTCTTTTAACCCCAAGATATGAAAAAAAAAATGTTTTGTTGTAGTTTCATGAGGGAATCCTGGAAGCGTGTCTGTTTATCCTGGAGAAGAGCGATATGCCTGCATCTGGTCGAGCGGATCCTGTCAATGTGGTTAGAGTCATATCTGCCATGGTGAGTTTAAATTTATATTACATCCCACTATCTCCATGGGGTTATCCAGGATTTTAGAAAATACTGCTCATATGATTGTATTTCATTTGGTCAGTGAACTTTTCAGTTGTATTTTTGTAAAGTTTGTTTCCCCACATGAAATGCTGTTTCAAAGCCACACTTCCAGGAGTAACATTCTGGTGAGAAAATACTGTAGACAATATTTATATATTCAGGAAAGCCTCTAAAATACCCTCCATGTCTTTTTAATGGTAAATTGTACCCTAAATTGACAGGAAACATGACATGACCTCGGTGTCTTTGTTAGAGGCTATGGCCCTGATCATCTCTCAGGTTCTGCTTGACGAATGATCATTTTAATTTGTCAATGAGACCAGTAATTGACAGTGTCGCCATCTTTTCAGATAAACGCTCAGGATGACTTTGGGGTTCTGGTAGGGAACTGGTCTGGGGATTACTCTGATGGAGTCTCTCCTGCGGCGTGGAGTGGCAGCGTGGAGATCCTAAGGAAATACCACTCCTCCAACGGAACGCCTGTGTCATATGGGCAGTGCTGGGTCTTCTCTGGGGTCACTACAACAGGTGGATATAAGAAAAAATGCAACAGAACATGGAATGATGTGTGGGAGAGAAGGTTGGAGCTTAGTGGAAGCTGGAAGGCTGTATTGTATGTGTGTGTTGTGCATATGCAAATGCAACGAATGATACCTAGCATTTCCTAGAATTCACGTCAATTTGATTAACAGTCGCAAAAGGTCTTGATCATGGCTTCCTGTCTATCAGGCCCTTTTCATCAGCTCTCACTGCTCTGTAACAGAACACTTCATTCATTGTGTGTTCATGCAGGGTCCCTCACATGATAGTGAGCTGATATTGACACATATAGCACTGCCCTGATAGCAAGCCGTAGCTCATATACTACACCCTACTGTAAATACCTTGCATAGGCATTCCTGTCATACCTCCTACTTTTGTCACCAATAGAGCCGCATGTGTTGCTTTCATTCAGCCAGGATAATAAAGTCCCATGCAACCATGCAAATTTCATTTTAGTAGAAATGTCTGAAGTCATTATGCCCAAGTCTTAGCAACTGGGAGCATAATAATTACTCAGTGACCTTGTAAATTCAGTTTTAATGAATCTATCTCTGTTTGTCTTTGTTTACAGTGCTGCGGTGTCTTGGCATACCTGCCCGAAGTGTGACCAACTTCCAGTCTGCTCATGATACTGATGTATCCCTCACTACAGATGTCTATTTTGATGAGGAGCTGGAGCCGATCGACTACCTCAATAGTGACTCTGTCTGGTAAGATGTGTATCTTTACATGGGCAGGACATCATGCTCGGAAAACTGACTGCTGTTAAATCCATACCTTAGGAATGCACCGTATATTAAGATCTGCTTGGAAAGCAATTCCCTCTAACTTGAAACCCCAGAGACGCCAGGCTCTTTCAATTATCTGCAACTCCTCTCAGACTGCAGAGGCTAATCTGCTCGTAGTGTATATCTGATGGTTTCGTGAAATGCCCTTAGTAATATCTGTGCCATTTCTTGTTCCTTCTGGCTAGTTTTTACACCTTTACGCCCTAACTACAAAGGAAGAGTACACCAGACACTTGTTGCAATGTAGCTATATGTAGCAATGTTTGCTGGCTTCATTTGCATCAATATTTGTAGAATTTAGTGGCTTCTAGCAGTGTAGTTGCAGATCGTGAAACATGGTGGACTTCATGGAAGGTGACAGCAGCATCTGTTTAGTTTAGTTAACCCAGTGGCCACTTACGGTACTGCAGCAAAAAATTCCCCTGAGGCCCAAAAAGCATTAGTATTAGGGCCATACTAAGACAAAAAAATATTTTTTTGGGGGGGAAATTACGAGAATAAAGTCATAATATTACGAGAATGAAGTCATAATATTAGGTCCACGAGAATAAAGTCTTAATGTTACGAGAATAAATTCGCAATAATACGAGAATAATGTAATAA